ATTCCTTGTAGCTCATTGATCAAAATGATCTCAGTAAGCTACATCATGATGGATCCTGCTTCTCTGTAGTAGGGAAATGTGTTTCTTTGTGTGGCCTAGCTTTCAGTCTGGGATTTGTTCCCGTGTCTGTTTTTTAATATTTTTTAAACCATTTGGTGAATCTGTATCCTTGTTTACAGTGAATTATTTGTCTCTGCCCATTCCAAGATGCAGCGTAGATCTTTAAAACATTTATTTTCCTGTAGCTGCAGTATAGTAATTGCCACCCCACCTAATGATATACTGTATCACTGAAAAATTGTTGACATCACACGGTTGTAGATTAAGGATAAGCAGGAAACAATTAAACCTTAGGACGAATGTGACCCTTTTGCTTGGGGCCAAGCTGTTTCTAACTTAAAGGGATGTAGAAAACCTGATGGATTCTGGACTCTGACTATCTCATTGATGTACACTATATGAGAAAGAGCAGCAAAGCATAATGCAGATGTGTTGTGCTGCACTAGCTTCCTCTTCATGCTCTATTTTATCGACCCTTTCTTGCTGTCCGCGGGGAATGCATTGCATCTCCTTTGATTAAAATTTATTTGTTTGCCATTTTTTGCTTCTGTTTGAAAGTTAGGTTCACACCTTGTTTCTGTGACATGCTTGTTAAATATTTGTTGCTACAGTATGTTTTGTGGAGGTGTGCATTTGCTAACCACTGTTCAGTGCTATTCCTCAAGCAAGAATTGTAATGAGAAAAAATGGAGGCTTTAAGAGGCTCTACTGAGGTTCACCTATACATCGTGAACCTGCCTAATTATGAATCAGAATATCTGAGAAATAGATGTGACATTCAACATTGGCCAAGTGTGGAAAAAAGTTTTATTTTTCAACAAAGTGCTGTGTTTTATTTCTCAGAGATAAATCTGAACACTGTCTGAAAGCCCTGCTACTCTGCTTTTAAGATAAGGTGTTTATCCAGTGATTCATTTTCTGTAACTGCTTTATCATTGATCTTTTATCCTTCTATTTTTCCAAATTCTCAAAGGTACAGACAAAGTTAACCCAGTGGGCTTACTTAGAGCCAGCAGTGAAAATTGGACCAGGGGACATGAGATGGAAAATTGTAAGATGGGAAATCGGTAGGCACTTCTTGTGGAATGCATTGAGACATTCTTTTGAGACAGCCTATCTAAATGACAAGCTGTGTCTAGGTGGTCTAGTCAGTAATGACCTGTATTAAATACAAATGCCTGCTAATTGCAAACTCCAAAATCAGATTAATCAGCACTATTCTTGTTAACAAAGCTAGGAGCAAACATAAACTGACCATCAGTTAATAAATCTGAAATTTGCTTTTGGCAGATTGGAGTGCTGTTTTAATATGGGTCAAAATGTAGAGTGTAATGAAATTGTCAAGGTAATGTGAATTATATTATATCACTGTATTCGGTGGAAATACCGTACATCTGGATAAGCATGTAATTTGTGAATACATTACTTTTTAAATGTTGGTCTGGGATGCTTGTCCTCCAGTTTTTACTCCGTCAGTAATGAAGCCAGTGAATTCACTTCAATAATTTCAAAAATAAAATACATTCCGTTCCTTTTCTCCTACCTCAAATTCTACTTGTAAGATTGCAGTATTATATAAGGGTTTTAAGACTTGATCTGCCTACCCCAAAACAACGTTATTTCTTAAGGTGCCATCTGCTGGGGTTTCTGAGTAGCTCAATGAGTGCCTAAAAGACAATCTTTTAGTTCCAGTTCTCCGCTGCGTTCTCAGAAACATAGGACGGGTTGCGAGACTGAAATCCAACTAGATCTGGGTCACTTAAGCACAAAAATTAAAATGAGCTCTCTGCTTGCAGATTAAGAGCCCCAGAGAGATATTATACAGTAGATCCAAAGACTCATAGAGCTCACAGGAGTCTAGCCTGTGAGAGAGACAGGAGATAAGAAAGAACCAGATTTAAGAAATTAGACAGACTGCATTTAAGATACAGGCTTATGCGTCACAGCTGTATGTTGATCGAGGGCAAAACAGATGTCATATTGGCATTCCAAAGCTCTTACTGTAGTTCTCAAAAGCAATTAATATTGTCAATATTGATGTGTTCTGCAATTTGCTGCAGAAGGAAGCTGTTTCCAAAACCTAGTTTTAATAGAATCAGTGCTTTTCATCTCTCCCCAATTTAATGACTTCATATAAAGGAGAAAAATGCTACAATCTACAAATTTTCATGCAGATTACATCCAGTCATATAAAACAAGCAAATCTCAAGCATTTATACCTTATTAGTCTGATGGTGTCAATTTATAATATAATGTAAACCCACAGAAGTATAACAAATGTGATGGATTTTCAATAGAGATTCTAAACTTGAGTGATGAATGGGAACATAATGAGAAGATGAAAGTGAATATTTGGCTGAAAGATGTTTATTTATTCATTTCAATGTCTGCTGTTTGGTATATCCAGTATATTTACTCAATCAAATACTGTATATTTATTATTTTACAAGACCAATGGCTCAATACTGTTTGCCATATTAATTGAATAAAAGTGTTTTAATACATGCAGTAGTAGAGGTCCATGGAGAACCCTGTAACAAAATAAACCTTTAAAGTATGTAAGTGTAATTGGTCATTTGAAACTTTAACTGCAATTCTGTAGCATTCAATAAACTTAGACATTTCATTGTAAAGCATGTCTAGTTGAACAAACTGAATTGTTCAGTAACCACTTAACCAACAGAACGTGGTAGTGAGCTAGACTCTAGCCTAGCAGACAATAACCTCGAAGCAGGATACATACTGGGTTTGATGCCCATCCATCCCTGACAAAATTTGTTTATTACTTTTACAAACTCATTGGGTGATATGGCTAAGGAGTAATGATTTCAGGACAGTACTAACATTCCAAATCCACCGTGGAAATGAGCAGTTTAAGTGGAATGTTAGTATTCTGCATGTATACGGTATTTGGAATGTGTGGTCAGATTTGTTATATTTATAATGATCCATAGAGTTGCGTAATGGAAGCACATTGATTTGGTGTGAATGATATTATTGGATAATACTATATACATTTACAGTTTGTTATTGGATGAAAGAAGAAGTTAAAGCTGACATGAAATTTCACCTGTTCTGCAGGATGTTTTTGTAGACATTTTCTTTTCTCTCCCAAGCCATAAAAGCATACTTTGCTAATTCATTTGAACATAATTTATTGACCTGCTGACCAGCAGTTCTTGCCGTGGGCTGTAGACTAATTTCAGGGCTTCGTGGTTCAAACTGAACAATGAAATACACAGGCAATAAAGTCAATTGCATGCTGATTTCACATTGACAAGTTGGTTTACCTCTTCACTGTTTTTCCATTTTGTGGATTTTCATCATTGACCCAAACTGCAACTGTTTCTTACTTTAACGTGAGATTCCTTTTGGCTTGGACATGGAATTTCACTGTGCATCAGATTTCTGTCCTTTTTACTTTCAAACAAAATGAAGAAGAATAGAAAAGAAAATTGTATATACAGTATATCTAAATAAGTGTGCAAATCATTTTCTTGTTTTAGGCTCCACTATCCCCTCATCTTCCTCAAAGCTCTTGTTACAATGAAAGCATTACATGCATCATCCAAAATGCACTCCAATATCTATTCTTTTCACACTTGGGTCACAGTGCAAATGACAGAAATAAGGCACTGGATGACATGGTCGACGCATGCTTCACAGACATTACTTCTCAAGTGCACAATTTCAGTTTCAAACTATACAAATGCAAACCATGTTATGACCATGTGCCCCAACTGTTCAACTCTTTTCTCTGATTTATATAATTTGTCTTGATTGTTTGAGAAGAATAACTAATAAGTAAAATACCCCTTTCTGTTACTGATGTCCTTAACCTTTATTCCCTATCTGTCTGGGGAAAATTGAAATCTCCCATGACAACCACTTCTTCTGTTGTGCAAACATTGCTGATATCATTTTATACAGAAGATAGACATCCAGATAGTAGTATTTGTGCACTATGATTATTTTAAGCATTTTAGGCAGTTATTCCCTTAACTGTTGATGACAAATATTAGATAGTTTACAGTTACTTAAAACTACAGTATAATTTAATAATTATAATATAATTTTCTGCCTTGAAAGTTCACAAAACACATTTAGATTACATGGAAAAGTCCTGTGTTCATACTGTATGTACAATAAGTTATATGTCCCTGGTATGTCCACAATGCATCTGGCCTTGACTGTCAGAGGCCACAGGGCTGTTTCTTCATTATGGCCACTTCCAGATGGCTGATGGTGTTGTCAATGTGAGTATAGGCATCAACCCAAAGGATTCCCAATCTTGGTCCTGGGAACCCACACAGCAGTCACTTCAGCTTCATTCAAGTAGTCACACTTGCTACCTGGACTCCAGGCCATTGCATATCTTTGTTCAGTTTAATCCTCATATCTCTTTATAAACAAAGGGATTTGCAACATGTAGGTTGCTTCAGCAATTAAGAATCAATTCATATTGGATTCAAAGTTCTGCAGGGGTGCAAACTACCATACCAGCCTGCTCTCTTTCGGCAGTGGGTTTCCTCTCTCTTTTGTGTCATGGGGATTGAAACCAGCAAACCTACGTAATTTTGTTGCCCGCACAAACTGCCTTTCTACTTGCGAACTCATAAGCATGCATTTTGTACCACATGAGCACTTCCACCCTTTTGTTATTTAACGAGTAACTAGCAGCTAAAAAAATGGGTTGTGAGCTCTGTTGTTTTCTACCAGCATGTCACTGCCTCTTCGTAACATCACGCTCAGACAGGGTAGTGGGGTAGTGTTGAATAATTTAAATCGGTGTTTTATTTTTCATTTTCCTCTGCAGAAGATAGTCTCGTATTTTCATGGGGTTTGTCAGTAAAGGAAAGGTGTCTCTCAACTTTGAACTTTATGTTGCTTATCTTTGCAAAGTTATTAATTCAGCTATTGAACATGTTTTCTTTCCTCAGGAAAAAGCCCAGAGTTTGCAAAAACACCTCTCCCAAAGAACTGACAAATCTACACAGACGGAAATCATCAGCCATGATGTGAGTACCAATGCATCTATAAAAGTCCTTATTGCTATTCCGAGCTCCACCAACCTATTTACATTTGCGGCTATCTCCATCCTTTTGCCTAATAGGATTTGTATGCAGTGCCATTCATCTTTTAATCTAAAATGATTCTTGGATACTCTCTGCAATTGAAATGAGATAATTAGAAATTAATTACAAGCATTACTGGTATCTCTTTGTTTGCTGAAATAATCACCCCAATGCATTTTCTTGTTTGGACACGGGGTTTCTTTTCACTTCTCTTCATCTTGCTTATTTATTAATTGAAGTTTTAATAAAAGTCAGTAAAACACATTTACTGTTTGAACACATTGTATTTGTGATGTATTTGTGCTCAGTAAAATTACCATATCAAGGAAAACGTGTGCCTTTGCTGACTATCCTGAGGAACTCTGAAACAAGAGACAGACATTCAGACAGGAGGTTTTGTGCAGTGCTTGTGTAATTAAAGATCTTGAACTCAGTGTTATTTTTTAACCACTGAAATATCTTTCATATAAATTATCTTTTGATAAAAAGCATTTTTAAAGAATATTCTTCCTATTTTTTTTTCAGTTTTGATCAATGAATGACCGCCATCTTTGCGATTATATATTCCATTATTGCCAAACTCTAGTCCAGATGTCTCTACGCTTGGAAAGGCCTGAGATTGGCTGCAGTGTTTACTTATAGCTGTTATCATAATTAGCTGGTTGGTCTGAAGATGAGATATCTTCATTCTGTTATCTGGAAGTTGTAAAGACAGGGTGAGTGCAATGCCAGTTGACATATTCAGAGTCAGGGTAGCCACATCTTGTTAGTTCATCATTAATGTGGATCCGGGCCCATCTCTTGTGTACAGTTAAGTGCTGAGTATTACAGTCTTCAGACTGCTGAATCCCATCTGCTTTCTCTTTATGCATTAGCATTTCCTTTTACTGTTTGTATAATATAAATCTCATCAAGTCCCACAGACTACATAACACATACTGTGTAGTGCATGAAATGCTAGTTTAATATGGGAAAGAAATCCATTTCACCCTGACACTTTTCTATAGTATGTCATATACAGATTGGCTCTGATGAGTGTCAAATATTTTTTTGCTGTTGGTTGTGCAGTCAGTTATTCAGATTCCATGTATAGATATATCATATCTTAAAATATTCAAGATATATTAGAGATTTAATGTGATCAGGAACTTGAGAGAAAAACAGTGATTAGTCTGTTCCAGAAAGACAAACATCAGAATGTTTGCAGAAAAGAGGGCATTTGGTTCATCTCACTCGTTTAGTTTGTAGCAGCTAATTGATTCATCTGAAGTAGTGCTAGTAGCTAATTGATCACACTTAACATTTGTTTTCTCAAAATTATGTCACATGTGCCAAATGTCTTTGTAAGACTTTAGTTAGGTCAGATTAGATTTTTAAATATTTTTTCTGCTTTGCAAAGTTGCAACAGAACTTGCAATCCTTTCCCCTTTTTTTCCAGTGCATACAAAAGTATATTACAGTGAAATAGGTTCCCTGTGTCATTGTCATAGAGAGGTACTGTAGATGATTATTTGCACTGTTTTTGAGGGGTTTGTATTATAATTCTACATAATTCTACATAACTAACCTTAAAGGTTATATTCATTTCAAAATATGGTCCTGCCCCAGTTTTTTAAACTCAGTGCTTTTGTCACAGGGGAGAAGATACAGTACATTGCTTCTTGTGATGTGGACATTGTTTTAGTACCATTTCGTATTGGTAGCATGTTCAAGGGCTGAAGGTCACATTCTCATTGTTCCTTCCCAGACAGGTGTCATCATAAGATGAAGTTGCATGTGATGTTATTGGTAGACTTTGGTCCTGAAACACATGATATTCATTCAAAAGCACAGTCATTTGTTTTTTTGTACTAAAAGTAAGAAACAAAATTTCAATGAAAAGCTGTGCCACTGTCTTTTGCTTTTTAAAGAATTTTTTAAGGTGTTCTAAGGTTGGATTGTGCAGCTTCTTATTACAATGTATCTCCAGAGTTATGCTTACAAGAGGGCGTAAAGCAGTCAAATTGTACTGTACATGTGAGCAGGGTTCATAGTGTTAATTAATACACAGGTCACTGTGTATTAATTAACACTATGAACAATGGTTTTTCAGGAATGGACCCATCTCCTGCATGTCAGGTGTTCTCTAGCAGCATAGTGTGGTTCTGTTTCAACTGTAGAAATTTACAATTTTCTAAAAACAATGAAAAACAATACAACATCTCCAAACCTCCCTTCCCCCAAGATTGCCTTCCGTGGTATCTTTTTTGTGTTTCTACCAATTGATCCCTTCATTCAAGCCTGATAACTACAGCACAAATTCCACACAAACAGGATTTAACCACATTAACAATATCAGTAGCAACCCCGCTCTGGCACCACAGATCCCAGCTGTACTGGGGTCCTCATGAATACTGTCAAGTCAGGAGGGGATCCAGTGATGGAGGGAAGGGAATGTGGGATCTCCCAGCACAGCTCAAACAACCCTATAGTCATGGCAGGTCTAGTGTCCCATTGGAAGAACTTACATAAGGGACTAGGGAGACATTTTGTATGACAGCGTGAAAGAGGTTTTGAAGAACAGCATGTTAGGTTTGATGGTGGGTCCGGCTGTGTGTCTCGGGCAGAGGAAAATGTGCCAGAGGCAGCAGTCCTAGTCCACAGTCTGACTGGGTATGACCCACAAGGGTACCGTGACTTCGACTGTGCTGCCCAGAGCTTAGCATTTGGACTTTATTTTACAAAACGGCGATAACCTCTCACCATAAGCAGAGCAGGATGGGAAACAAAAATGTTTCCTAAACTGTTCTTACAGCTCTGCCCAGATTCAACACTCCTGCCTTTGAAAATCTGTGATTTCAGCAGCTGCTAAACTGTCAACACCTGCCTGTGGCTCCACATATTTGCTAAATTTGCACATGGAAAAAAATATGGATTAATATTGCACTTCAAATGTCAGGACTTTCTTTTATACTCAATATTTTGTTAGAGAAATGAAATCAATTACCTCTGTGGCACTATGTTCTACAATAAACAAGTAAAGAATAGCACTGAAGTTACCTCTTTATAAAAGAAGAAATCTTATCTCTCCCTGTTCGATTTGGCAATTGTACACTTCACCTTGAAAGAGTAGTAATAACTCACATCCTTAGGAGGTTTACACATGGAAAGCAGAAGTAATGTATCTCCCATTGTATCCCATGTCAGGGACTGTCTGACAGTGGCTCTTGGAGAACAGCCTCTGATTTCTTGGGTTCCTAAAAAAATTGCCCCCAAATTGACCAGAAAATAAAGCGTAAATAACTCAATCTGTTTGACTAGTCGGATCATTTACTTTCCTGGCTAATAGGGCCGATTCATCCTTCTTTACCGTGTAGCAGGTCATTGAGAATTTCCTGCAGACCTTTCTTTTTCTATGCTCCCAGAGCCTGTGCGTGACTTTTAACCCAAGTCTATTCATCCATATTTATTAAATAAGTGCTAACATCTGAGGGGTATCCATCCATTATTGCGCCATCAATCAGATTTCATATAGGTCTGTAGAACTGCATACAATGGAAAACTGTGAGTATTAGAGCTTAGAATAGTCTGCCTGTTTTTTATTGGTGGGTATTCAGGGTATTTTCTTTTTTTTTCTCTTAATATATTGTTCTCAATATGGCAGCCATGTGAAATATGTGGTCACTGTAACATTGGAATTTTTCTCGTGTAAGCCAAAATAGAAAAGCTTTTGGTGGTACAGTACTTCTGAATCTTATGAATCCCAGATTGAGATGATTCAAAAGTAATTCTTAAAACGTTCAAACTTAAGTCTTAAAGCAATATGATCAATCGATTTTCATAATTTGTTGATTGCTCCACGGAAAACTAACCACTGACCTTATGTCTACAGACATGAGTATCTAATAAAACAGGTTCTCACCACAGAACAGAAGCCCCCACAATGTGACTGTCCTTCTGATCTCCAGGAACCGGTGCTAGATGCAGAATGGACAGCAAGATAGAAAAGCCTGACTGATTGTCTGCTGCTCGACTTAAAATAATATTCTGTCAAGCCACTAAAGAAGTGGGCCACAAAAAGAGGACTGCTAGATCCCAAAGGGCAGACGATGGAGTTGATTATCTTGATAGCTGTGTTGCAACTGTCTGAATGAGGTTCCACAAGACTGCTTTTCGTAAGCGAGTAGCAAAAGAGAAACAGGCCTGCAGCCAGGTGATAAACGTTTTATTATCAAAATCTCTGAGTAAATTATCATTTTATCACGACAAATATAACAAGAATAATAAGGCAATTTTATTTGTAAGCACTTTTCAAAAAAACTTTATAAAACAGTAGTACACCTTTAATGCATAATACAGAGTAAAAATAAAACACTTAAGAAGAACTAAATTTGCTCATTAAAACTAATAGCAAAACAATAAGCATTTAAGTTAAATAGTAAGTTTTTAAGTAGTTTTAAATAATGCTGACAGTTTCAGACTCTCTAGTAATTGAGTTAGGCAGTGAGCTCCATAGATGTGGGGCACATGAGAAAGCTCAGTATGTAACCTGATCTTCAGGAGAAAAAAAAGCCTAAATCAGTAGATCACAGATTCTGAGATCATCATCTTACTGTATGAACAGAATGAGATTGAAATTTAAAGTATGAAAGTTTTTAAACTTATTTTCATCATTGTATTCAAGGATTGTGCACACAGACATAACATTAATACAATTAAATTAAGATTAAAAAGAGTGAATCACAAGGAAATGAAGGACTGCTTTTGAGTTACTTTCACTACCTGACTCACTTTGCATGGTTTTACTAGGTCAGCTTGCCCATACCCAGTGGACTTATAAATCTGTTATTCTCCACTCTCAGAGACACTGATCATTCTTTAAAGCAAAATTCTATTTTGAGTTGTAAATTTTCAGGAACAAATTAAGTGTAATCTTCACTTGCCAATATGACAGACAGGGCACT